ACATTTATATGAATGATTTGAATATCTATAAGCTTATACGCACTTGAGAGTCAGTGAGAGCAACTGCGGGTTGGCAGGACAACAATAAAAGGTGTGCAGAGTATTGGGGAGAATGAGTGGGACCATGGATAGCGCACCATGTCTTAGATCTCTTAGACCACACCCTGGGCTCTCTGGATTGGACTATCAGAGTAGGGACTAATATGTGATGGCAATGCAGAGTGACACCAAATGTGGACATGTTAACGTAGCTAAAGATGGACCTACATATGTGGCATAATATGAAGCTAAATTTGGTTTTGATGTGATTGTTTAGGGCACAATAAATGGGAAGTGCCTGATCATGTTGTTTGAATACAAATGTGATGTTAATTACATGGCAAGTGATAACTTTTGCCTTTCCATGTTTTTTACTAAAATGTTGCTTTTATATTGGCTTGTAGGTGGAATTCAGCGCAGACCAGATTGAAGGTATGTAAAACTTAATTCACCTCAGTTCTATACTGTTACTTACAGTCCACAAAACTCAGCTGGCCCTCCATCAGAGAAATCTGAAAATCTGCCTTTATCATAAAATGTGACTTGCAAATTCCATCAATTTAACAACATACAGGGAGCAAAAGAGAAATAACAGAGTACAGCAATGTAAAAAAAATACTACAATAGACATCATAACAGGTCTCAGCGTATCCATGACAGTTGGACACCTCATTCATTTTTGTATTTTGAAATTCCACAAAGCCATCAAATCCGTTCTGAAGCCCATTTGTGGCTAATGAAGCTCAGAAACACTTCATGCGTACAGTCAGTCTTAGGAAGACTTTTACGGTTTCAGAAGCTTGATTGATTTGCATGTTTGAATAAGAAACCGCATATGTGGTTAAACATGTGGCTTCTTGCATGGAAAACACTGGCAACAAATGCATCAACTAACTGAAGTTGTTAGTAAAAAGAAATAGGACAACTGGTGTCAAGTTAAAAACACTCAGATTGCATTTTAAAAAGCATTTTGATCACATCACAGTTTGGCTGTAAAGAGCATCATTTACATAACGAAAGGGTCGCATGTCACAAATCAAGCCAGCAAATCCCTGTGACCAGATATTAACGTTTAGCTTGTTTACATGCTTTTTAGAACTCTGTGTCACTAGATCAGCGATATCTCATTGTGTTCCAAGAGCCAACAGCCAAAAAAAACAAGAAAAAAAAAGAAAAGATCGGAAGATTTAAAGATTACAGATGGAAGCACAGTAAAATGATAGTGTAGTGTTTGACAGATAGAAACACCTGTGTGCTGTTGGTTGGAACCACATGACCAAACCTGAAGTCTGGCAGGCTGCTTGTTACACTGCAGTCAGCATTCCCTACTTTTACTCAGCTTGCCCACAGAGGGCCTTGCCTTTAAAAGGAGGAGCTCATATTCTCAGCTATGTTTATCAATTCCAAGGTGGTCTTTTAAAAGAGCCCATTGCCCCGCTGACTGAGAGAGAAGGAGACAGCTGAGATGAAAATAGTATGAGGGGTGACGAGATCGGCAGGAGAGACTCTATTCAGCCAGTAATACCACAACCTTTTGGGATGTCTTGCACTTGTTAAATATTTTCCTTGTCAGTTTGTAGCATAGCTGTCTCCACCTGCTGACAGGCAACAGCTAAGGTTGAAATATAAACTAGTGACTCGGTTTAAAAAAAGCATTTACACAAACTATAACTTCAATTTTTGAAGTAAGATATGTTATGTTTGCATATACATACAATCAGATGACAATGCATATCACATATATTGATGAGCAACTGTGCTAGTCTATAAAATAAACATCACAAGCTTCTTTGTATACAAACATAAATGCAAAAATATTGCAATACCTCAGGTTAGTGCTATTTTTATGCAATTAAATGTAAATGTGCCCCAAATGCAGTTCTTCTTCTTTAAATAGGTTTTTGCATTGCTGTAGTTTCTGTTTAATAAAGAAATTCTACAGTTAGAAGGAATATAACAGAAATGTCTTACTGTCCATGATAAAGACATAACAAACTATAATGATTATAAACTTTACCAACTTTGAGATAAAATGGAAATTATGGATCATTAAGCTGGCAAAATCCTCTCTTGCTTCTGTTAAACAGACTACAGGGAGGCCTTCGGTCTGTTCGACAGGGTGGGTGACAACAAGGTGGCTTACAACCAGATTGCTGACATCATGCGCGCTCTGGGACAGAACCCCACCAACAAGGAGGTGACCAAACTGCTGGGAAACCCCTCTGCTGATGGTACAGTAATGACATTTAGTAACTGCTCCCTCACTTGATCACTTAAAGATTTGCTACAGAAGATGTTAGGGAGCATGAAATACATGACTAGATTCATTCTAATCCCAATAAAGATAAGTTAGCAATTTGCTTTTTGTATTGATGCCAGTATGACATGCTGTCGTCACTGGGCTAAAACAAGGAACATTACTAACTGAGGCATAGTTCAAAAGGCTAATTTGTCTAAACTGATTTTAATAATATGTGTGGTAAACATTAATGGATAGCTCTGGGTTTTTGGTAAAATATGCAAAAGAGGTGTACAGTGCTGCTGTCAAACACAAACGATAGCAAGTATGAGAGAGAAATTATCAGTAGCTGCTTTTTTGACTGGAAGCAGTCATGTTCAAAGAATTGAGAAATGATCGTCTGCTCATCAAAAGTGTCTTATATTGTGGACAGGTCTGTGCCTTTGAGGAAATGGCATAATAAATTGTTTATGCTGCCAGCTAGTGGTCAACATTGTCATATTCATTCATAAACTCTCCCAAACTGTGAAGTGTAGCACAGAGCTATGCAATAAATGCTCACGCTTGTCCACGTCTTGTATTTTTCAGTACAAAACGTAGCCTGATCTAAAACTTTTTTGTTTGTTTTTAATCACACACACTTTGTCTTCTAAACTAACAGAAGAACTATATTATTATAGTGGTTAACATATTTGCCTAAGATGAGAAAGATCCCTGGTTCAAGACCAGGAGGAGACACAAATCCCTTGAAGGGCATGTGGTATAAAAACCTATGCTAAATCCAATATGTGAATCTGCCATGGCAGCCCCTTTAAATAAGGGAGCAACTGAAAGAAGACAAATGATGGTGTAGGTGCAGATTTGTGCAAACTCAAGACTGCAATCAAGATCAAAATGACAAATGACCTAATAAATAAATAAACAAAGTAATAAATGTGCCTTAAAATAGGACTGCGCTGTGCTCAATCGTGAACCTGCTGAAGCTCTAGAACTCTGAGCCTCCCTTTAGTGTCACCTCTAGATCCAACTTACTCTACCTCCTTTCACGCAGACATGGCCAGCAAGAGAGTAGAGTTTGAGGGCTTCCTGCCCATGCTCCAGGCCATCATCAACAGCCCAAACAAGGCAGGATTTGAAGACTATGTTGAGGGTCTGCGCGTCTTCGACAAGGAGGGCAACGGCACAGTGATGGGTGCTGAGCTGCGTATTGTCCTGTCAACACTCGGTGAGTCAGCCTAGGATGCCTTTCCTTCGATCTGTTCAGGTGCGTGCCCGAGTCGCTTTGTGTGTTGTTAATATCAGATGTCCTCTGCCTCCCCCTGCAGGAGAGAAGATGACAGAGGCTGAGATTGATGCTCTCATGGCAGGACAAGAGGATGAGAACGGCTGTGTCAACTATGAGGGTGAGCCACACAGTCCAACAACGGCTACATAAAAACACGATGATACTATTACTGCTGCTGATAGTATTCACACTGTTCATAATAATTATTAATTCTATTATTATAGATTGTTTTTATCTTATATGAGAATTACTTTACAAGTTTTGCTTAATCTAACCTGTGAGAACTATTTGACTCCTTCTGTGTTGGAGCTTCACATCCCTGATGATGTCATTGCTTTTCTTTGATATTAATAGAAGTGTTCAATCCAGACTTTTTGGAGTTAACACACAGTATCTTAGCCTCGTGTAAGTCTCTCTTATAGTCTTAAAGAAGTGACTGTCAAACCTTTTCTAGTGTCATCTGTCCTCTAGACAAAAAAGTGTAGCTTAATAGATGAAGCTATTATCGACAGTACAAACTCTCATATTTTAAATGCTGTGAATCACAGAAAACAATATCTTAGAAACAACCACAGCAGAGATAGTTTCTTACTTTGCGATTTGCTCATAAAATGTAAACAGCAAAGAACAAAGTGCTTTTTATCAGCAAAGAAAATGTAATGAATGATGAGGGTGTTAACAGAGAAACTGCAGTGTCAGTCTTCACATTTAGTAAATTAAACATGTGTTTATTTCATGGAAGTTTGAGAATGTATTTTTCTTCCAGTTCACTCAGTTTTCCCTCTCTTCCTTTCTTGTTTTTTTTTTTCTGTCTCCCGCCCCGGCCTTCGCCCGCAGCCTTCGTCAAGCACATCATGTCTGTGTAAGGACCCTGCCACCGTGGTGGTGAGCATCGTACATGTGCAGACCCCATGGTGTCGCTGCATTCGCTCGCTGCTTCCTGTACCATCTGTGGAAGCAGGGGGATCAAAGGACTATGAGATATCATTTCCTGAATCCTTGTTTTATTTTTTCAACACTTTCTTTTTCCTCTTTTGTCCAAACTGGTGCTTTTTATTTTCCTCTCTTCCTCCTCCTGTCACTTGGAAAGCTATCCTGATTACTCATGAGGTGCTTCTTTCGTTATCTTCACCAAAATCCCGCAGTGTCATTGGGGTTTATATTCGTCACAGAGGAACAGTGATGGATGGGAAGGCGGAATAACGATGACCATCCCTCCCCACTTACTGCCTGTCTGGCTCTCTATCTGCCAGTCAAGTGACTCGTTTGGCCCAGGACTGGCCATCAAAATGAATTCAATCCTCTTCCAATCTAACCCTCCCTAAGTCTTAACTTATTGTATCCTCTGCCATTTCACAATAAACTTTTCACACTCCCATTTAATTTCCCTCTTTTTGACTCCGTGTGTTGTACGCTGATATTTGGACATTTATTTTAAGCCAGATGTTTTCAAAAGGAAGTGGTTTGACATTTTGAAGTTATATACGCGGTGCTTTTTCTGGTTAGCGGAAAACAAAACAAGTACGTCACTTTTTTTTCCCATTTTTTGGTCGTTTTATTGTCATTAATTATTGTAACTGGTGTCATATCAACAAGAGAAAAACTGCGTACATCTACTTGACCTTTTAAATACATTTACAGTTGCTGTAGGTTGGAGTAGGAGGTGGGGAAGGGGCACACAGAGATGGGGAATGCAGAAAAAACACGGAAGCAAACAAACAGTTGCAGGTGAGGGCAGTAAGTAGTGGGCAGGAGGGCAGGGCATACCACAAATGGTGTCTGAAAAAGAAACTAGATCACCCAAACACTTTTTTTTCCCTAACAGACATAACAGGAGTTGACTGAGTCTTTTTAACTTTTAGGATTTTTCAAAATATTTTTGTCCAATTTATTCTCCCGCATATTGCAACAAAACATCCAGATACGGTAGCGTCCGCTGTAAAACAGCAGGGGACCTGCACCAAAAAGCACACGCACAGACAGATTTCAGAGTAGCTGCATCTTCTGCTAAATATCAGGTCGCAAATTGTAGCATCTCCTCTGTGGTTCCGGCAGTCCCGATGAGGGCAATGTCAGCCTGTAATACTGGAGAAATGTCAGTGCTGTTTATTCTTGTGAGCTGCGTCTGAACAGACTTTCCTTTTGAGGATGTTTGTCGATTGAGTGCCAGTGTTTAATACTGCTGTGATGTATGGACAGGCTTCTCCGTTGAACCGCTGAGCAGGTGCAAGTGTGTGATGCACTTTGACATGACTGAGATGCATTCTTTAGCAACACCAAATCAGCTGTCTGACATTGTCACCAAGCATTACACTGTAAACAACTATTAACTACAAAACATGAACTCGTTTAATTTTTATCCAATAAATGAGGAAATAACTTACTAAAATCCTTATTTTAAATTACAAAATAGCCTCTTTTAAGACTTGAATCCATACATGCTCGTGGTAACATGACCTAGTTGCTTGCATAAATGCAATTTTACAGATTTTCAAGCCATTTTTGTCACTTCCTTTTAAAATGTTTTCAGGACATGTAGATGGCAAAGAACCTTTATTTTATACATGTTTCTATATATATTTGATAAATATATTATATATTGGATGACAAGAATGACTTGCAGTAAGGATGCGTGTTTTGATAGGGTGTCCATGGACGTTTACTGAACAAGAGCAATACGTGCGGTGTGGTGGTCGTGGCGTTATTTCTTATTCAAAGTAGAAAAAAGGCTGTTGCTTCTTCAACACTGATCCAAGACCAGTAAAGCCAATCTTTTGTCCCCACTATTTAGAGGTTACAGCAAACTTTTCTTTGCAACATCATTCAAAACGAGGGAGATCAAAATCAATCAGAAATAGGACGTTTGGGTTTAAAATAGACAGAAAACAGAATAAATAGGACCAAAGTACAGTAGCTCCTACTTTGAGTCTCTACTTAGAACCGGTTTAGCTGAGTAGTAGCGGTGATCAGTCAGCTTTAGGGTGGCAGGAGAGGGCGGAAAAGTTTGAATGGATCAGGATGAGGACGTCTTGGGTGCAGAGCAGCGATCCAGAGATCCAGTGTTCACAAACCCTGCTTGGCCAGAGCTGCAGTGACATCCTCCGCCAAGGTTGCTAACTGTGGGGAATCCATCATGTTGAGACTCCCGGAGGATGATAGATGGCTTTCGCGGATGCGGTGGGGAGACACTGAGCCAGAGAGACCTGGTGACTGGATGATGATCTCGGCTCCATGATCTACTCGGGCCTTGGCATTGTCCCGAAATGTCAACCTGTGGCTTTCAATCTGTTAAAGGCAGATGGTGTGATGTGAGAAGCGAATAGGGAAAAACAAATATTACTATCAGACGTCATATGAAATATTGATTCATTTTAGAAACGGCTTTAGAACAAGTGGAAAAACTCCCATGCCTCCAGAGGATTACTGATCACTTATTAAGAGCAGTCATGTATGGACTGATGTATATACTGTACCTTTACTGCTAAAGGAATACAGCAAGTTTTTGGAAGATTGGCCTGGTGGAAACACCGTTTTGTAAGATTTAAACTTAATTGAGTACAGAACTATGGAAACAAATAGTTAAGATGCACACACACAATGACGTGAGAGACTGATGGTCATACAGAAAATGATTATTTCAAGTTATTGCTACTACAGAAACGTTTTCCAGGACTCTGCAGTCATGTGAAAAACCAAGTACAACCCATGGTTTAATATCTTCTAGAACCACCTTGAGCAGTAATAATCTTAAGTAATAATTTTCTACACGACGTACTCTTCTTTACGTTGCATCAGTTCATTGTGGTTTTCTCAGAAATTCTATTACCAATTTTCTGGTTTGCTTGTTCTTAGTTTTTCACATGACTGCAGAGTCCTGGAAAACCTTTTTTCTGGTTTGCAATGCAACAAGATAGTTGTCTAGTTGCATTACCCAGTTTCAGCCAAGCTTTAACTGTCAGACAGATGGCCTCACATAGAGTACTTATACTGAGGAGTTCACGGTCGACCGACTGAGTGCAAGGTGCCCAAGTCCTGTGGCAAAAACAAACCCAAATCATCACACCACCATGCTTGACAATTGATATAAGGTGCTTGTGCTGATATGCTGTGCTTTGGTTTTGACTACATGGAACAGTGTATTACAGTTAAACATCTAAATGATGTCTGATTGAAACACAAGCTCTAGAAGTCTTGCAGGTTTAGATGCAACCTGAGCTTGGTTGCTATGTTCTTTGTAGAGAAAAGCTTTCTCCTGACAACCTTCCAGACAAGACGTATCTGTGCAATCCTTTTCTAATTGTACTGTCATGAACATTGAGTCTGAGATGTAGGCCTTGGGCTTTTTTTTTTTTTTGCAATTTCTCTGACTACTGCACAGCCTGAGATTTGGGTGAATATTGAGTAAAGGGAGGGTAAAGGCTATTACTTATGAGGGCTTATATTTAAATTGATGAGTAGGACAATCTCTCAATAACTTGATGTTTTCCCTTAAATGGCTGATTAGAAGCATGGAGCTGACACTCACCGTGACGTGGCCTCCACCAGGAATGTGGTGAGCATTTTCCAGGGAACCCACCTTTGCTTGGGCTTTGTCTTTGAAGTCCAACTTCACACTCTCGATACGCACATTACCACCTCCTGTTTAAAAGCAGAAGAAGTGTAAAAACTATTAAGTGAGAAGAGCGCTATATTAATTGTAAGTATTTATTTCAATTTTGAAATTGAAACAGCATCAAGTGAAAAAAAATGCGAATACTTAGTCACCAAATATCCACCTAATATCTACTCAAGACACACCCACCTTATTAAGAAGTTATTAAAGGTCAGATGAGAGAGTGAGGTTAAAAATTGTGCAGAGTTAAAGTATGAAACCCCAGTAGCTTCTCAATGAGAGTTTAGGAATAGATGAAAGACTGTAATAAATATGGCAGAATGAACAGCAGGTGGCGCTGCAGGACAGTCCAATACTCTCTGTGGGTAAATAAAAAGGGGATTCCATATTTCTGCAGGGGGCTTTGCTGCCAAAGTACTGGTAGTGCAACTAAATCTTTCCAGTTCTGTAAATTAAGCTGGAAATTCAGAAAATGATTTCAAAGGCCAATTCAGATAAATATAAGCACAAGTTCTGTGCAGTTATCCGGAAGAATAAAAAACATAAAACCACTTTTATGGCACCTAATAATTATGATTTATATTTTAATTGTAGAGCTTTTAACATGACTGTCACAGAGCATCACACTGCCCTACAGCATCAGAGAATTTTTTTTGTTGTATTAATGGAAAAGAAATTTTCAAACTTACCAACAGCAACCCCTATAACCAATATGCAAGTTTTCTTTTAGTGCAAGTCCTATGGACTTAGGAATGTTAAGGGATTACTGTGAAGGCAATTTATTACTTTGCATTTCAGAAATTTGGATGAACAAACATTAAATTGAATGTAAAACCCTCTCCAGGTTTGATGTAACCCAATTTATTAACATCATATCCCACACTCTAACACTCAAGGTATAAAGACAAATTTCAGAAAATGCTGCCAGGAACCAAAACACCTCCTACATGCGGCCACCTGCGGACACATCTATCAGGCTGTCAGTTTACTGCTTGCTTCCACTGTTGTTGCAAATTTAGATACAGACTGGTCCAGGAGCTGCATCTGATTGACATGTTATTTCAGGAGTTAATAAAAAAACTGCCAAATGAATACATACATTCAAATAGGGCAGGAAATTCTTTGTCTAACAAATACAAGAAAACCGGTCTTAGAACGTCTAATCTGTGTCCCTTGGTATTATCGTGTAATGATAAGACCAGGTGGAAGCGCACAGGGGTTTACCTGGCATTGTAAGCCAGCAGCATCAAACAGAGTTGGGTGATGAATGTTGAACTCAACACTGTTTACCTGTCTGGCTTGTCTACTATGCACTTCCTTATGTCACTAAAAGAAAAAATGGGAGCGTGCAGTTCATCTTATCTACTCACATTTTTAGCTTCACATGCAGTCATACCTTGAGGCTTTCCAGTATAACCACAGTCTGAACTCAAAAGCTCATGAAATTTAGATAAATTGCTCAAGTGTATCTAAGCAGTTCGACGGCCTCCTGGACATCCCACATATAAAATTCATATTTTAAAGTAAGGGACTGCAGCAGCAACCTTCTGGTCACAGCACACTCACTGCAGTGCAGTGTTGCCCTCTTTGTAGGGGAACTGCAAACCTTTACCTGGCCGATGATGGATGTTGTCTAGAGAGCCACACTTGGAGGTCACATGGCTCAAGTCAATCTTCTTGTTCTGTATTTGTACCTGGAAGGAACACAGTCAGGAAAAGGCAAGTTTAGAGCCCACAGTTCAAGGCAAGATCATCAAGAGGAATACATCTGATCTAGATTGTACCTGTAACCGAAGCAACCTGTTTTCAAGCTGTAAGTATGTCTTGAAAATAATTTGTCCCATTTATAAAACTGAACAGATACACATAACAGTGAGAAGTGTAAGGCAAAGAGAGGGCAGGGACACACCGAGGAGGTCTGAAGAGCAACCCGCAGAGAAATGTGTAAGGAGTGAACTGATGAGACAGCAAACATAAAGCTTTAATCACAGCACGATGAACAAGGACAGATACACCACATCCTGAGATGAATCACGCAGACACGCCCGTGGTCAGCAACCTTTGCCATGTCGCTGATTTAGTACAAATGTCTTTTGTAACCAGTGATTCTGTGTCCCGTAATTTCAACCCTCTTTACAAGGCCCGAGACACAAAATGACATAAAAAGTAAGATGACACATAGAAAGTCACATAAAAAAAAAAACCCACACCACAAGCACACAATACTGTATGCAGCCTTTACCTACTATATACCTTGTTGTGGCCTTATTGTTTTGTGAAGCTGTGGACTGACAAAGAACACCAAGTCTCTTACACATGCAAAAGACTAGCAAAAGTATACCATATGAGTTTTAAAGAGAAGAGATTATAAGTGCTTTGTGTCAGCGTGGGTGAACATCAGGCTACTGTTTGGCACATCGCTCCTGTAGTCATGTCACTTAGGCATCTGTTAACCCCACTGTTGATGTTTTTCATTTGTATGGTATGTGTTGATTTCTTACATAACACAGTACCTTCTGCAAATGCAAATTCTTGACCTATTCATATAACTGAACATAAACCAGATGCATGCATTTTTCTTCAGATGCGCATGATTGCTTAATTTATCAGTTCTACTAAGAAGTGAAAACACCAATCACACACAACATTAAAAACCATCTTTCTGAAGGTCTTTGTACAAAGCACCTTGGACCCATTAGGGCTTATGGAGGCCCTGTATGATGATGGTAGTGGGTCCTTTAGGGTCCTTTAGTGTGCTGGAGTCTCTGTGGATCAAGTTTCTTCTGTGTGCTGCAGATCATCATTAGGGATCTTGGAGCCAGGATCGTCACCTTGGACTTTTGGTCTCTTAAAGTCATTGCTGAAGAGTTTTTGTGGCCTGGTGGAGCACATTGGTCTGCTGGGAAAGGCTGCTACCACTGAAAAAGGCTAGTATGCCTTATGTAGGTTATACATGTAAAAGTATCATTGATGAACACAAGGATCCAAAGTCTTTAACAGTAAGAACCTTCATTAATTGCACATTTTTCATAATAAGATTACTAAACAATTATAACACTTTTCGTAATAACACTGTGATACATGTTTTTTTTATTTAAGCAATCAGTGGGTTTAATGTTGCCGATGATTGGTGTAGATTTTACACATTAGCAGAGTAGTACGATATCCATTTTTAATTGTTTCTCAAAAGAGAACTGCAATAATTGAGTGTTTGCATGCTTAATTTGGAGAAATGACATTGTTTTCTTTATTTATATCAAATGTAATAAAGATTTTCTGACTAATAGTTAATTATGGCTTTAATTTTTTCAAACCTTTGCCTCAGTTTTCTAGTGAGTTTTTTTTTAAGTCTAATTTATCAGAGGCAATACGAACTGGCTCTTTTATACACTGGCGGGAGCTGATGTAATCTCCAAATATAATAATTTGCAACAGAGGGAAGAGTAAAGAGCACTTCTCATGAAATTATGCACAGTTATAAGCAAAAACTTTTAGTAATGTTTGATTGCAAATGTTAATCTGCAATTTAATGTCCTTACGTTCAGCAACTCAGCCAACCACCGCTCTCCACCTTCGCTCTCCTGAGCGACCTTGACTTGTGCTGGGCTTGTCCTAAAAATCTGCAGGAACTGTCAGTTGAGCGGCCTTTGCGCTATTCTTCACTTGATGTGTACTGACACTCTATTTGAGACTCTCAAAACTAAGATGCTGCAATATATGAGCAAATGTGCTACCACGCGTCTCTTTAGGTTGACAGCGGTTTTCTGCAGATAATTAAAGACGAGCGATTACAAGTAACATGTAAGAATACAGAATAATACACACAATGCCAACTCTGATTTCACTACTTTGAGGCCGCTATTGTAAAACTGGGCACAGAATAATAGCTGTTTCTTGTTACACAACAGATGAATTTAATCACTACAGTCACCTGAACAGATAATATCTGCTGTGCCAAAAGCATTGACCTTATAAATGTTCCTGGCACTACTTTTTTCAGCTGCTGTAGCAAGAATCAAATAAAAAGAGGTTTTATGGGAACAGATCATTCTGAGGGAAGTGATATAAAGTCAAGAGATAAGTTTTAACTGTCTCATTGTTATTAAGCTTGCATAACTGTGCATTGTTAATGTGCATTATTCAAATCAGAAACTGCAGATGGAGCGCACACTATACCTGCTGCCTTCAGATGGCTGTAATCAGTCTTAATCAAGTGCTTCATGCAGCGTGCTACCTGTTGTGGATGAGAGATGCTGGCAAGAGTTTTGCTAGCAATGAGTGGGCTAATTTTGTTAAGCACTAAGTCTACTTTCTCTTCTGTGTGTTTCTGCATATGAAGAAGAAAGCCTTTATTAGCTTTATTTTCATCGTACATAAAGAAAAATTCATTAAGATTTGATGAGCTTCTCTGTCCAGTACAAAATACAATAAAGGATTAGAAAAGCATTAAGCATAAAAGTGTAACAAACATGAATATGTACAAGCAGGAAGGATCTTTTGGTACCAGAAGCTTTCTGGGTTTATTTGTTTTGTTTTGTTTTTGAACTTGTAGTCCAAGCAGGCTGTGTCTGCATGCAGTTACAAAGTCAAGATGGGGATCATAAAGACATTGCATTTGGTAAAATGCAATACTGAAACCACTGGCTATCATCTGACGAAGACTTAGCTTTTTTTAACATGCCCGCATTTTGAAAAGGATATATTTTTTCTAATCTCCTGATAACTTGGCTACATCCTAATATTAGCTAGTGCCCTTAGAAGCTAAGTCAGCAGACTAGTCAAATGTCAGGTTCTGGAGGCAGACACATTCAGCCCTTGGTATCATTACTTGCAGGACACAAACCACTGGTGGAGAATAATGCAAAGATGAAGAGCAGTCTAGTAAGAGCACTGCAAATGAATGAGTGACTTAACTATTAAACTGAGAAACAGTAAGGCAAAATAAAAATACAGGAAAACACAGAGGAAACAGAGGAAACACAGCACAGCACGGCACATAAATAATACCGACAACAACACTGACACAATGGGCTTGCAGCACAAGACTCACGTTTCCACCTCCTGCCGAGTAGCCACGCCTGTCCAAGGACCCACACCTAGACTGAACATGGCTATAGTCCAGTTTAACACTGGGGATGAAAACCTGCAGGGTGGAGGTGAGGAATGAGGTGGGAAAACGCTTGGGCTTAAGTCTTTTAAACAGTTTGTATACTCCCACTGTTTAAATAGATGTCTGACTGTGTTTGGCGGTACAATTGGACTAGTAGTTTCCCTGTTGCCCAGGACAAACATCATTCAACTGATACGATCACTTTAAGCTCAGAGGAAAAGACAATTTGATCTGACTCATGGCGTGAGCTGTGACAGTCTGTGAGCCTTGGTTATGTACCAAAATGCAACAACTGATGAACCTTTAGAAGCTAAAAACACAATTGAAAGTTCTTTGATTTGAGGCCACTACTTTAGGGATTGAGGATGATGAACATGTGAGTGTGCTGTGACGTGTGCTGACTCTCTGTAGCTGCAAGGAGAAAAAGCAGGAGTGAGATGCAGACGAAGCAGAGTTGGAACAGTACTGAAACAACAAATAAATAGCTTTCATTTTTATACGACAGCACAGCAAAAGCAATGGGGGTTTACACCAGATAAAGAAATGACAGTGCATACACTTCTTACACATTTTGTGAATTAGAAAAGATGAGGACAACGGAGACTTTCGGGTATGTGGCCTCTGAACTGTTTTCCTTTTCCTTCACCGCTTAATGAAACACAAGGAGTGCTTTCAAATATGTGGACATCTGTTCAAAGAATATGGAAGACAATCAGTCTCGGTTCAAAACACTGCTGGAACAATGCTTATGTGCCGATGGGCTCAAGACAACCAGAGGCAATAAAGAACATATAAAGAATATCTCATTTGTGGGGGATCAGACGTCCTTTCTTATGCTATATTGAGAATTTCTTTAATATGCAACAGACATAGACAAAGAGGAAGTGTTTTCATTCAGTTCTCAATTAGCACAAGGTTTTCTGCTGTTACTTCCCTTCAAACATCGGGTATGCACAAGTGGTCTCATTAAACAGCTCCCGTGACCTATAAATGGACATCGAACCATAACTTTCCACCCACTGCCAGTAAAATGTTACACTATCAATAAATTTTTAAAAGCTAAATATAACAGAGAATTTATTCCCCTTCTTTAAAAGAGGAATTATTTTTGTCTTTCTTCTTAATGCAACCTAAACACAAGGTAGCAAACTAAATGAATAATGAGAGCAGATTATTCATGCTTGTAACACCACAGAATATCCACAAGATATGCAAACCTCGTCTTGCCACAAAGCACCATCACTATAGCATAGCATGTGACCTATTATATCTCATGTGACCTAGAATTGTGGGATAAACTAAAGTGAGGAAACAAGCATTTTATGTACCCTCAGAAGGAAATAAATGGAGGAAAAAGGGGGAAAAATAGAAGAAGAGGATAGAAAGAAAAAGAGAACTCAACTAGTGGGAGATTTCTGGGGAAGGAAAAACACATTTAATCTATTGTCGACTCACTATTATTCGTATTATTCTACACGAAATGTAGGACTAGACCTAATACACACAATAGTGCAGGATTAAATGTCAAACTAATCACAGATACATGATGGGGGTTTTTTGGGGTAAAGTGCTAAAGAAAAGTTAGGCTACAGTATTCATATGGATCCAACAGGACTGCATGTTCAAGTATACTTTAGCATTTTAGCTAAGGCTATGGTCAACTGAGTGGATCTTTCTCTTAACCATCAGGTCATTTTTGTGCTAGACAGTCGGCTAAATATTAGAAAAAAGTCAGAAGCATGCATTCTCCTTGCTATGTTGTTGTTGGTCGTTCATAATGCCAGTAATATATAACCTATAATACAAGTGACATTTGTCACCCCTTGAACTATAGTTGAAAAGAGACAACTGTATCTAAAATTAAAAACCGAGAGCCAAACTACAGTGAAAAGGGGGGTAAAATACAAACTAGCTCACTTTGATACTATTAACCTACCCATATACTGCACAACACAACAAGAAGCAACATGTTGTACACTACCTAAAGAGATATGAATCAAAATATTTATTGGGAATTGGACTAACTAGAATTATATAAGGCATTCACCCATCCTCTTAATGAGGAAGGCAAAGCTTGAAGGGTACATACATTGGCTCCACGAGGAGAGTGCTTCAGATTATCCTTGGCGCTGCACTTTGACAGTGATGGGGTGAAGTCCTGCCTCTTGTTTAAAATATGAATCTATGGAAACATGCAGAGATATATGGACCTCTTAAATGGTAGATAGGAATGACTGTGTATTATCTTCGTATGCTTGATCGCACTGTCTAATACTCTAGGGACTACAGGATACTGATGATCAGCATACTGAAAAAGTGTCAGTGCACACATTTCTATTGTTTTGGAGCATGATTAATGCTTTAAAGAATGAGAAATCACAAGTTTGTGTTTTCTTTAACTGTTTTCTGTACCTCTTGCATTCATGTTGAAACAAATAAGAGTTTTTCAATTTTCTTCCCATGAGTCATCAGTCTGCCAACCAGAGTATTTGTTTGACTTCTCTTTATGAAAAGTCTCAAGCCAACGCACATTTCTTCACATTTCCTTTCACTTTGAAGCCAGACTTTCTTGTAATGTTTAATGGTCCTGCGCAATAGTTCACCAGGCTTTCCAGAGATCTTTCATAGTTTTAATGAATAATTTCAGCATAAATAAGGCACCTCACGCAAGAGATGGACCCAGGTATTATCAACAAATAACAGACAACTTTTCAAAGAATAAATACATAAATGAACTGATAAATAAATACATGAATTAAATTGTCTCTTTAGGCTCTTTGTTACTAGCAGGCTGTCACAAAAACACATCTCAGCATGGTGTGTAGTGTGTTCTTAAAAAGTTTGAGGAAACTGCACAAGAAGAAGACTATTTGAACACATGAACAGAAAGTCAAAATTCCACCAAAGACCTGACACATGACCCGAGAGATTCATTTGATCTTTCAGTTGATCCATCTACTGTTTACTGATTACTCATCAGAATTGGTCTCAATGAAAGGTTTGTTGCCAAGATGCCATTCATAAGGAAGAACATGATGAACACGATGAACCTATTGGTTAAAATAGTCAGTAGGTACAACAGTGAGTTTCTATAGCCATCTGTAAAACTTCTTAGAGGCTCCATCTTTGTTTGAGGCTAAATTTTTTCTTATTTCTTATTTAGCTGGTTGTCGGTTCTTGTGTATTATGGACAGAAAAGTATCTTAGCATTTTGATCCACAATGCCATAGCATCTGGAAAGCATTTGATTGGCAATGGTTTCCTTATCCAAAATGAAAACGATCCCAAACACAATGCCAATGCAATAAAAGCATAACAAAATAGAAAAACAATAGAAAAACACACAATGAAACCCAATCAATCAGGGATTGGCCTCCCCAGAGTCCAGACCTCAACTTTATTGAAGCAATGTAGGATCATCTTGACAGAGATTAGAGCAGAAGGCGGCCAACATCAAAAGAGGCGCTTTGACTGTTCTTCAAGAAGCCTGGAGAACTATTCCTGAACACTACTGAAAGAAAGGTTGCCTTAGAGTTTATGCTGTGTTGAAGAATAAAGGTGGGCATATCAAATGTTGACTTAGAATTGTACAAACTCAGTTTTTGTTTTTTATACTATATGTTTGCACACATTTCAGTAAATCATTGTACATATTTCCCAAATGAGGGGTGGCTTAAGACTTTTCCTCAGCAGTACTGTACAATTTCAACATGATGATTACTAAAATATTAAGAAAAAAAAAAGAAAAACACTGCCTTTTGATTTTTTGATGTGACTGGTTTGATCCTATGTAAAGCAGCTACGCAAACACGTTCTGCTGCTGCTCTGTGCGATGGACTTTCTTCAGCACTTTAAAATTCAATAATCAATCAAAAGACAAAAGGCAGTGGCCACGTAATAATTAATTGGCTCTAAAATAGTTTTTTGTATTGTTAATATTAATGGCTCATTTGAATTTAAATTTAATCAATCAAATTACCTTTTCAAGATATTAATGAGTAAAATTACACATAGTAAATGCTTTCTTTTTAATTATTCCACTGGGACAAAGGTTTCCAGACTTTTTATTCAAAGTGCTATAATTAAAAGTGATAAGGTATACCAGCAGGTCCTGCGTCCAGGTCACGCTGTGTACCGCAGACAGACACAGAGTAACAGAGATGAGGCGCAGCACTGACTTCCAGATCAAAGAGGCCCTGCGTTTGGCCTCTGTTGGCCCATCTGGGTCCTTCTGTTTCTATGAGGATAGTCATTAGACAGGTCAGTAGCTGAGTGTAGGCTTGCTATATTGCTGTGGGCTGGGGGAGGCTCACTACAGGAGCTGCTTATAGTAACACTATTTGGATCTTTGAGGGTGCTGTGAATATTAAGGTGAGGAGTACACTTCCATCATGTCATGTGACTACTGTCTATAAATATTTGCAACAATATAAATGCTGTCACACTAGTTTGGCTTTTTAATTTTCATTAAGTTTAAAAAAAGAGGTAAAATTATACGCTATCTATAATTTTTTACTACTTCAGTGGTACAATAGTGACACTAGAGGACCATTTCAACAATGAATGTTTATAAATAAAATGATAATAAAACAATGAAAAATAACCACACAAAACAAATGTTTTGTGTGGCTAAAAGAAATATTAAAGAACATATTTATATTAGCTTTTTAAATCACCAAATATCAGCACTGATATCAGTCATTATATTCAGTTTCATTTATGGGCATAAACATAGACCTCTGAACCTCAACAACTTATCAAACTACCACTGAAGACGAATAACGCACTGCATTAATCTATGCTGATTCCAAAAACAAAAGACTTTGTCTGAAGACAGCATGCTCATGTGTGAAACAAACACTTGTAATCAGAAGGAACAACTACACAATAAGCAGAATAATTCCCATTAAGGATCAGATATCTGTGCAAATTCAATAGATGCATTTGATAAATAGCCGCGTCTATCTAACAGGGAGATAACCCCCTAGTCAATGTATCTGCTATCTGTGTTACAGATAAGAAATACACAAAAGCATGACGTATTCAAAATCACACACAAGCAAACTAACACACAGTGGAGCAAAATCCACACTGAAATATTGGCCAAGCACTTCCACATCCACAGTGAGTGATGTGACTGTATAATTGAGTATTTACATTGCAAACACTGATGAAGCTAGTTATGAACACTTTGACAAAGCATAAACAGTAATGCTGTACACATGCTAACCCCCCCCAGAGAAGCTCAAGCGTGTTTCTCCTGCAGATGACAGGCTGGTGTTTGGAACATGATCCCTCCCTATTTTATGGCTGACTGCACAGAGCAGCTCAGAGGCCTGCTAAGTCATAAAGATGCCAGCCAAACACTTAGACTCCTAATCAGGTCATCAGCAAAGGCTTGTAGGAACTGATGGCTACAGACACATTGCTTCCTGGTGCAGTGCTGCCTTTGTGTTTCAGACTCGAGACATTTGTCAAAATGTAAGAAATGTACCCCGAGACACTGTGCTAATGCAGATTCTGTGCAGCAACAGAAAACAAGATTTGTAATTCTGATTTTGCTGAACTGCTGTCTTTGCTTTAGAGAGCCAGGAGGAACGCTTACGGGACAATACTGCTCAGAGTTCAGACTCTCGCTCAGGTGTCATAGTCATGTCATTTTCTGTTTACTGAAATCTCTAGATGGAGAACTGCTTGGTGGTGAGAAATCACAGGTAAAAATAAAGCTGACATAACATAAGCTAGCATTTACTGCTTTAAAATTGTAAAAAATGTATATATACATATTTTGAAATCATTCTTTAGACCTTTATCTCAGTGTTTATCTTTGGGATAAACTCACAATCAATCACAACAATGTTAAAATGACTTTTTAACCTGCCATCAGGTGGCAGTCTATATTAGTCTATATTAAACTCAGAGAAAAAGAGCCTCGGTCTACTGTGTTGATGGCAACAGATATATCAAACTGCTTTCATCCATCAGACACAGAGCAACATTTACAGCTCTTGAAGACAAATTTTTCTGCAATCTGATTAACGCAAGCATACTTTTACTTTCACTGACAGCAGCAATTGATATCTGAACTAATGCTTCACATAGAGACAACAGAGGAAGACAGCCACAAAATCAGACTGGGAACTGAAAATATCTAGAAGTGGTAAAGAACTGCTAAGCTGCTGTAGGTCTTGATTCACCATATAAATAGTTTAGATGATAAATCATATGTCCAATAGGTTTATATATCATTAAAATCAACATTATAAGTTGAAGTACATTTTAGGATAGTCTATCAGGTAAAGGAAAAGTTTAACACGCTACACTTTACATTGTATACATTGTAAATTTAACCAATGGACACGTGTAATTACGTGTGATTTTCCTTTTTTCTTATACAAAACATCATTATGTAATATTTTGTACTCTTTTTTTTTTTTTACGATGATGGATGGGCAAGATTATTCACGAGCTAGCAGCAGGCAAGGGAAACTAAAAGACTAAAGCAGGACTTTTAGCGAGGACCTAGAGACGGGAGGAAACATATGGGAAATAAGCATCTTAAAGCAGAAGAAAAAGACAGAAGATGTTAGACAAAACCTTATAATATTATTTATACGAGGAATGGTAAAGCAGACCTCATCACAGATCAGTGGTCTGTAAATATATTGTACAGATTTTTCTTGCAGATCCATATGAAACAGTTATTTGACTCAATTTTTTCCTCCTATTGAATGTTTTGTTGTTGCTTTATGGTTCAAAGGTCAAATCCTGAGTAAAATCTGCTAGGAGGCAAGCATTAAGTTTCTTTGCATGCTCAGTAAATCTACCTGTATATACCTAATATACTTTTTATTTCTATTACATGTAACTTCCTGAAACAAAAATAAAATACATGGCAGCTTCTGTCTCTGAGATCAGTGCAGAAGGGAGAGGTAGGAAAAAAGGAAACTACAATAAGCAGTAAAACCAAATGTGAAGATGGAAGAAAATTAGCAAGCAGTTAAAAAAAGCTGCAGATTTCTGGACAAAGTAAAAGTGTTACCTGTCCTCCTTTAGGCTGATACTTGATATTCTCTGTGGAGCCAATCTTAGACTTGATATTCTTGAAGTCAGGGAGTGGCTGGTTGATAATACGGAGCTGCTTGGGTGTTGTTGCAGGTGACTTGGGTGGGGTACGGACCACAGCCACCTTCCTCTCCTGACAAATCAAACTGAGGGAGCGTGGGGTCCCGGGGGTCCTCGAAGATGATGAGTAACTGGGAGGAGTTCCTGGGGTGATGGCTGTTGAGCCAGGGGTGCGTGGGGTGGAGTGGCCACTGCGAGCTGAACGTGAGCGCACTGATTCTGTAACTGGTAAGATGACAAATACAGGTGATGGAGGTGGAGGTGAAGACAAGCTGCAATTCCTTTTATTCCAAATATTTTGAGTCCACAGCACAAAATTACAAAATGCTCTTAATTTATATCTAGAAATAGTAGAAATAGTCTGTAATTACCTGTCATGCTAGGAGCTCGCCCTGTCCTGTGTTCTGCCCTCATCTCAGTGCGAAATGCTGGAGAAAGGGAAAAATCAAAAGTTTTGGATTTAGTGATGGAGAATGAAGAAAAAGAGGAGTTTTAGTGCACGCTAATAGTCCAACATAACATTTTGGCTTAGTAATAAAAGTAAATTAAGTATTAATATAAAAAAAACAAATGTTAAAGATGCCAGAAGACAGACAGAAATAGAGCGAGTATGCAAAAATCACTCATTAGCAGATGTCAGCTGGGACTTCTTAAAATAATCAAGCATAAGGTCTTATGAGTGTGCTTTTCACTTTCTAGAAATATTTTTCTAAAATTGATCAACAGTAGTAAAGACTGAATTAGTAGCATTTATCGCACACTGGAGGCTATCAAGAGTTTCGTTTTAGACAACCTAACGTAAACTAAATGCTGATACTTTGTGCAGTTTAGGGGAACTGGACCCTACATGTGGGCCTGCGAGGAGCCGTAGAGCCAGAGCTAGTGATAGAGGTAGAGCTCTCTTCATGGTCATGGGGCCCACGGCGACTCATAAATGAGGTGTGGCGTGGCACTGAAGACCTCTTCTCTGGGCTCCGTGACCCACCATCCTGTTGGAAAGCATACAGGGAGCGCATTGTTAGGCCAGTCAGGCAGACTGAGGTTTATCTTTTTAATTCAATGTGAAACAACAGATATCGTTTGCAAGCAATATTACAAAATTAAAGCAAATAATATTCATGTTTGCATGAAAACATGTATGAAATTTCCAGGACTTGTGCAGGAACCCTGTCACTCTTCCATCCACCTACCTTAGCTATTTGTTTCTGTAATTCTGTGGAGCCCTGAGGCTCTGCTGAGGATGGACGAGGTCTATCTAGCGAGGCAGCCGCTCTGGATATGAAGGTGGGGATCTTTGTAAACGGTAAATGATGGGCATGGCACTGAGATGGTACAACAAAGAGGCGTGGTTGGTGAGGCGCATGAAAACAAAATAAAGAACACAGGATGACAAAAAGTGGTGAAAATACCACTGCTACAACATGCATCATGAATGCACATGATCTCATGAATCATGTGGAACAATTTACTATGTAATCTATTAAAGCAGCTCCTCTTGCACATTCATTTTAGTAAGAAACTGAAAACTCATGGGACATGAAAATATCAAGCAAATAAACAAAACTTAAGAACGTGAGGGATACTCTTCATCATGCCCATGCAACAGCAACGGGCTACACTGCAGAGCATGGTATTAGAAGACACTTTCAGTATGCTGTGCTGACATGACATTTAGGAAATATAGAAAGCATGTTCTTTTAGACACAATAACTGTCATTACCATGGCGGAGGAGTGAAATGGAGTCACGACCACAGGCACTGGAGAAATGTCACAGGTTGGTTCAACACCCACTCAGCAAAATAAACACTCCAAATGCGTCTGTCTTCACTACTTGTGCAAAAACCCATTAAAATATGCCAAGAAGAGGAAACATTTTACAAAATGTAACCACCATTAATAATTTTCTTCATGAAATATGAACAAAAAACTAATGCAACACCTGCCCGTGTTAGTGTGTAGATGGAAGGACAAAGCATTTGCGTTATCTGGATGTGATGTGTTATTGTGTTAATGTCTTTTGAGATTTTTTTTTTTTTGAACTCCGCAAGTCACCCTAGGAAATAACATCATTTTAATGATTCTACTGATAATTGTTTTTTCAAAATTACCGAGATGCTTTTTGTTTCAGATCCTGCAGAAGTCAAGATGTGTATTAGCGGTTTCATATTAATAGCAAAAAAGCAAAAGTTTCAAATATGTTGCACCAAAAAAAGGTTCTGCCTGTTTCTAGTGTTCAGTATCCATTGAGTTTCTCTATGCCTATAATTTAATTGTTCATTCATGCTGACTGCCAGCAGAGTTTTCTTGGAATCTCTCTCAGTGTTTTTTGTGCCAGAGGTCGTGCCATTGTTAGGTTTGTTGAGTATACTTACCGATGCTCTGTCACGAGACTGTCTGGCAACGCTGAGAGGCTGACGACTGTCAGGTAGGACCTCTGAGGGACGGAGACAGACAAACAGAGAAGTTCAGAGAAACAAAAATACTTCAGAAGAATTTGTGCGTTAACCTTCGTACATTGAAGGAGAAGGAGTTAGGGCTCTCTAAATGCCCTACTTTGGAGGATTACCCCCATATTTATATCCTTGCAAGAATATGTTCCCATTACATAAAATGTAAAGATTACAGACATCCAACTTTGCATTCTTAAATGTGGCATGGTAAGCGATATGCCAAATTCAATGTTCTATAGGAGCTGGATGTTTCTCTCTTGACAGCTTTGTTCTGCAAAGATTTGGCAAGATATCACACAGAATGGGGGATTTTGTATTATGTAAGGCAACCTTGGAAAAAAAAAAAAATCTAATTGGGGCATTGCAGCAGTATACTGAGCTTTCCTCATCACTGACACAGAATTCAGTCCGTCAGGGGACAATGGAGAGCAAACTGCCTCTGGGTCAGAGCAGCATTAGCAAACCTAGTAATAAGTTAAAGGGTGGCTGTCACTTAGCAAAGTCTGTCTACCAACCGGAAGGTCAGTGGTTCAATCTCTGGTACCTCTGGTCTTCATATTGACGTGTCCTTGGGCAAGATGCTGAGGCCCCCATATTCCCCCCGATGCATTGATCGTAGTGACAGTGTGCGTGTAATAGAAAATGCTTCAAGGCATAGACTATATTAAAGTAGCTTGTAGTAAAAAGTGCTTTCAGTACTCAGAGTGGAAAAGTGCTTTTAGCACCACGGAGAAGATACCACAAGTTGGAAATGGCTAAACTGGATATGTAATTTAAAAGACCATCGAGGTTGTGAAGGTCTATAGTTTCTTTACTGACAAGATTCATTATTGTGACAAGTCAGCTGGACACCAGCAGCTGACAGAGAACCTAGATACAAACTGCTAAAAAAGATTTTATGAAGGAAAGATGTATTCATAAAGAATAACATCTTTATGAACGTGTTAGGAATTAAAGTATTATTTAAGTTAACAATACTGTAGTTAAGGGAAGTGTGCTGTGCCTTCTTAGACACATGTATATATGAGCATAGGTGTAAGCACAAACAAATGCTTAAAACAGAGAACACAAGTGAGACAGTATTTGTTAGCTCGGAGAACGAACAAAAAACACAAAAAAAAGCAAAAAATACACAAATGAATCCAAAGAAAATATTAATGAAAGTCAATCTTTATTATGATGAAACACAAAATAAATGCATTTGAAAACAAATAACTAACAAAACTAATAACATTAAACAACCAATAAAACAAAAATGAAGCGGAGGCGAGACAGGGAATGCTGTTGCGGTGACTGTCCTGCAGCAAGCACCAGCTGTGTGACAGACCAAGGCAACGTGTCACCTGTGGTTATTCTCCTGGGGCAGGAGTGGTGCTGGATAGGACGGGTCTGGCGAACTGCTGCTTTCCCCGCAGTCCTCTTGGATGGGGATTGAGTCCGAGTCTCCATTTTTTTGGCCAGGTCAGCCTTCTTTATCACTGCTGCATTATCGGAGAAAACAGGACCAGTGACAACAGCAGAGGAGTGCAACCACAGACAGAGACAGTCGTGTTATAATACGGAAAACACCACAGAAAGCCTGTGTACGGTTCATGCATACTGAATATTAGCCATCATTTCAATAAGAAAGCCTGCATACAAAAGTCAGATGCACAGAGTGCTGTGTTTGAGGAGCAGCTGACTTGAACATTATTTAACAATGATTATTGCTTCAGTTATTGACTTTATTTTACATACGACGAAAAATAAAATTACAATAACCTTTTTTCTTCTTGAGTTCCTCTTTGGGGATGTAGGCAGGTTCTTTGCGGGTAGGTTTGCGTTCTGGAGTCGAGATTCGTCCCTTAGGCCGCCCCCCCTTAGTCTTGGCTTTAACAGGCTTTTCCTGTTTCTCTGTCTTCCACTGTTGTGCCAGTTTGTTCTGGACCACAGCAGGTTTTTTGACCGGACTAGACATCTTGGGCAAAGGCTCAGTGTGCTCCGTTACCATACTCTTATCGTCATCTGCAGTGTGGAAAATAGGGCATGAGACTTTATTCAGTTTGTGTATTTGAAGCTGACAAGAGGGAATAAAAAGAAGAACCAAAAAAGGTGATCTCACCTTGAGTGTCAACCCAGGAGCTGTCCAGAATGGAGTCATCCATTGTGGTTTCATCTCTATCATAGCTTTCTGTTGGTCCTTCTGTTTCTATGGTCTGAGCCTCCCTCTCGGGTGAGCCAGGAATTTCAGGAACATCTCCCATTTCCTCTAAACTGGCAGCCTCTATGTCCGCTTCCTGAGCCAGCTCCACAGACTCTTCTTCCTCTTCTTCTTCTTTCTGGGCAGCAATGCAAACTGCTTCGGCCTCAGGTGGGGCAGAGAAACGAACGCTGTGGCCCGGCTCTTCGGCTTCATCAATGGTTTGGACCACAGTAATGAAATCATCTTCAACTGTCACCACAGACTCAATGGCAGCATGAGCCTCGGGTATTTCCTTCGTCACGTCGCCTTTGTCCTTCAGCTTCTCAACCTCAGCAGGCTTTGTTGCATCAGCTTCTTTTTGTCTTGCATCCACTTCAGGCTGGTCTGGAACTTTTGTGTTCATCTCTTCCTCCTTCTCACGCTCTTCCTTTTCTTTCAGCTGCCTTTCTATTGTTTCTTTCTCTTCCTTCTCTCTCAACTCCTTCTCTATTCTTTCCTTTTCCAGCCTTTCTTTCCTTTCTCTCTCCTCTTGTTCCATCTTTTTCCTCTCTTCTCTTTCTTTTCTCTCCCTTTCTTCCTTTTCCTTCTTTTCTCTCTCCTCTCTCTCTTGCTTTTCTTTCAACTCCTTTTCTTCTTTCTCTTTCTTTTCTTTCAATTCCCTCTCCTCTCTTTCTTTCTGCTCTTTTTCTTGTTTTTCTTTCAACTCTTGCTCCTCTTTCGCTTTCTTCTCTTTCTCTTGCTTTTCTTTCAACTCCCTCTCCTCTCTCTCACGCTGCTCTCTTTCTTGTTTTTCTTTCAACTCTCGCTCCTCTTTTTCTTTCTGCTCTCTCTCTTGCTTTTCTTTCAACTCCTTCTCTTCTTTCTCCAATTTCTCCCTCATCTCCTGCTCTTTCTGTTCCTTCTCCTTCCTTTCTGTTTCTTCCTTCAATATCCTCTCTGCCTCTTCTTTCTCTCTCCTTTTCTGCTCTTCTCTCTCTTCCATTTCTTGTTCTTTCTTTTCTGCCTCTTCCTTGATTTTCTTTTCTTCGTCCTCTTTAAGTTTCTTCTCGACTGCTTCTTTCTCTTGCTCTGCCTTCATTTTCTTTTCTGGATCTTCTCTCTCATCTTTGTTTATGCCTAACACAGGTGAAGCTGATCTTTTCGGGGAGCCATACATTTCTCTTTGTTTAAGTTTGGAGGGTGAGAGCACTGGGGAGAGCAGCTTGTCATCATCGATATTGCTCTCCACAGATGAGGCAGATGACGTTTTAACAGGCCTGGCAATTCGGTCCTTGGCCACACCAGTCAGCTGGTACACATCTTCAGCATCCACTTCCTCATAGGCTTCCTGATGCACCAGCTTCACCTTCTCTCGAAGCTCCTGCAGCTCTCGCTCCTCCTCCAAACTGAGAGGCCTGTCCTCCATCTCCAGTTTCCGGATCTGCCTCTCATAGTCAGCAATCTCAGTTTCTGACGCTGAGCCTTCACCGCTGGCTTGCCGTTCAGTCTCGCTCACTGACCTCCCACCTTCCTCCAGTGTCACAGTGACAGTTGGTGTCACAAAAGGCTCACAGGGCTGAGCAAGTGGCGTCTCGCTTACAGAGGTAATCATCTGATCATCTTCTTTGTTCTTTTTATTTTCTTCAGCTGAATCTTTTCTCTCTTCTTCTTTCTGGTCTTTTTCTTCAGCTGCATCAGAAACTCCTGATGGCTGTGTCTTATCCTCCAAAGACACATCTCTGACTGCTAATTTTCTTGCCTGCTCAGCTACCTTTTCCTCCAGGACAGACGGGGTGAAGACTTGTGCAGAAGTGTCTGTAGGGCTGAACACATCTGCAGGGGACGGCATGGGCCCTGAATATTCACTAAATACACAATAACCCATCTCTTCCAGCTGGCTGTCACTCTTTCTAGCTCCAGGACTCTGTTCCCCTGAAATTAGGCTAGCCAGTGGGTCATAATTTAAGGCAGAAGAATCAGATTGAATCGACTTCCTCCGAATGATTTCTGGGTCACTGTTTTCTGATTGCAGTCCCGAACGGTTACCAGCAAGGTCAAGCATTTCGGGCAAGTCTTGTGCCATTACTGTGCCATTTTTATATGTATTCTTGGGAGGCTCAGGGGATTCTGGAGATTCCGGTTCAGGACTAGGTTTTGGAGGCTGCTCTGTGATCCTTGGAGGAGATGAGGAGTCTGAAGTAATGGAAGCTGCCGTCTCAAGTATGAGTGGAGGGAAAGATGGTGGCTTATCTGCAGATGGTGTGGTAACTGGAAGGTAGTCTGCTGAGTCATCTAAGCTTCCACTGGTATATGACATGATATCTGTGGCCAGTGGGGAGAAGTTTCTTTGTCTACCTTGGCCACTTTGATCCATTGCTCCTATGGTGATGTTAAGTGAGTAACTCCTCTGCTCTAAGGCAAGTTTACCTGGGGAAAGCCTGCAGTCATTACTCCTGTCAGGAACTGTAAATACCCTACTGTCTTCTGTTGTACTTTTTTTAGCTTCAGGTTTATCTTGAGCTTCAGCAAGTGTGCTGTAGCTGATCTCAGGAGAACTGGTATCATCAGTACTCTGCTTTTCACCAGCTCTACTCAGTTCGTAATAACCCTCACCTTTACTGTGAGGACCTTCACTAACCTCCATGGCTGATGTTTCAAAATAGGCTGACATCCCAGATCTGTCTTTTGTGTCACTTGTTGAGTCTCCTCCTTGAACTTTGGCTCCCACTGATGTGAAATCAGCAGGAGAGCTGATGCTGCTGAACTCTACCACCTCCACTGATGGCTGCTTCTCTGACACTGTAATCGGCTCACCATATGTAGGCTGAAGTGTGAGCGATCTGACGGGTTCCTTGGCTTGACTTTGAACATCTGGGGGTACAAAGGATGGCATATCCATGGTGGGACTTTCTGGTACAACTCGTTCACCAGCAAAGAACCCTTGGATCTGGGGCTCATAAAACTCCTCTGGGCGTTTCTCTGATCCAATGCTGTCAGGGCTCATGGATCCACTGTCCTGCTTGTCTGTCTCCATCTTCAAAGCTGAAAGGATATCTGTAAGTTGGCTGTTCGATCATTACAGAAATGCATTGTTTTAGCATGCTGTGAATGAGATATCTATTAAGCCAGGGTTTGGAAAAGCTATGACAAAAACAGGCAAAGCTCTCCTCAGAAACTTACAGCACAATGGTACGGCCATCAATGAAGAAGTACGGCGAGATTACGCGGTCCACCAAGTCACAGATGGATGATAAAATGGGATGGTGGCGTGACGGAAACCAGCATGAGGCAACTGTGATGTTGCTTTATGGGAAACAAGCAATAACAGATGGGAGAAATATCCATGCTGACCTTCAAAACCATCAGATACCAAGTGAAATAACATTTCTGTCATTCAGTAAAATGAAGTGTTTAGTCAGTTTGTCAAGTTTAAAGCTTTTAATATTTAAATAGTTTTCACTATTGTGAAAAATCTAGGGTTTAAATGTTCAGATGTCAGTTTATTAGCACAATCATGGAAGAACTTTACTGGTAAATGACAGATAAATGCTATATGCTGTCACCAGCTAAAGGTGACAAAAACAACCCAAAAAAAAGAGAAATAATTAGGAATTAAGCTGATACAGAAATGCATTTGATGAGATGGTTTTACCAACAACTGCACCACACTGAACATGAGACAGCCAACACAAAATCCCCTGCAAACTCTGTACTCAGATTCATGATACCAATGATTTATGCACGTGTTGCAGGAATGAATCATGGCTACAAAACTGCGCACAGCACTGGCATACCAGCACTAGGCAATGTATAAACACAATGAAAAATCTGGAAGCTTATAGCAGGTGGAAAAAATAAAACCAGCAACCGTCACGATTAGCATCACTTCACTTCATCATACCACTACGAAAACGGCCGGCCCCGAAAACCACAGCAAGTAAAAGAAAATATAAGCAAAAATACACAATAAAACCAGGTTAAGTTAAAACAATGTGGCTTTTTTTCCACCAACAAGCCTGTGTTGCCTTGCAGCCGCAGCAGAGCGCAGGGAGGATTACTTGCCATTCCACTTGAATTATAATGCTTATAAGTTATACATTTCCTTTGTACACATCTTGCGTTCTTATACAGTGGGCAATGCAGGAACATGCAGGCAGGGAGAGCAGAGGGCAGGACACACCTGTCTCCGGGCTCTCCTCACCCTCTGCTTCCTCCTCCTCTCTGTCCATAGAGCTCTCTGCAGTAGCACTAGCTGCCTCAGCCGGCTCCAGGTCTAGATCCTGGGCCTCGTCTATGGCCTCTGCCTGCTCTAAGGGCTCAGCTTGGGGGCTGTCCAGCTCGGGCTCTTCCCCACTCCATTGCTGCTCATCAAGAGCTGCCTCGGACTCTGCTGCCTCTGCACTCTCCTCCTCATCTTCCACCTCCTCCTCGTATTCAGCTGTAAGAGCCTCCATGGTCTCTTCTTCCCGAGAACAGGGTGAAAGGGGGACACATTAAGACTACAGGCAACACAGACTTGGGTTATGTGCGAACACAACTTATGACGGGACACTTTCAGCTCTAGGGAAAGATGGCCTAAAATATTTATTTGTTCACACATATATGTACATTACACATACAGTACAGACTGCTGTTATTTATGCATTTTTTGTTTTCTTTTTATCATATTAGAAGAATATGTTTTTCCCCCCCCAAATATCTGTCTTTTTAAAATATTTTTTCCAGTCCATAAGCAAATCCTTAACAGATACTGACCTTTGATCTTTTACGACTAAGGTCAGTTGTTTAGTGGTAAAGATAACAGGAAACAACACTTCATGGCTTTACACTGCATGGACAGGATACTATATATGCAAGTAAATGAAGGAACATTGTATTCATTTGAGTGAAAGGAGAGTTAGCTGCAGATCCACCGTGACAATGTCGCATCTTTCTAAGGATTTGCAGCTGATCGTACAAAGTGGTTGCTAATAGTCATTAAATATGATCATTTACATTAGTTTACACTAACTAGAAGTTAATAAATGTCTTCAGTATTACACAAATGTTAAGTTCAGCTGAGATCTGTGATTCCAAACAACGACAGTAAAATATGTCCTGTAAGATAACTTCTGAATCCCTAAGCTATGGGAGTCAAGAGTTCTGGCTTTTCATTTCATTTTAATTTAATATCTCTGGAGAAAGAACTTTCTTTCCTGTACTCTTTTGAGCAAGAAAGAAAAATCAGCAGCATCAGGAAAGTTTAATAACTGAGACAAGTTGAATCGGTTCGAGATGGGCTCTTGGTTTCTCTATATTACTTTTTTTGTATATTACTGGATAGGGATTTGGATTCTGCCATTAGATTTCCAAATATTTATTATGCTATTTTTACAGCACCTTCACAGCATTACAGTCATACTAGACTTTACACTTATTTTGTGCTGAATGACTGACAAACTTGTTAAAAAATGCCAAAAAACCATGAAAAATCAGCTGATTATTTTTAGATTGGTTTGCTTTTTTAAAAGGTTATTTATTATGCTTACTGATGACCCCGAATAACAAGAACAAATGAATGGAATGATTTTTTTTATAACAGAGTTGATAATGGGTGTTTATTAAAAAGGCAGAAGGGCCTCATAAGACTGCATGTGCATGACGTCCACATTTCTGAACCACAAATGTGGGTGAATATGTCTGAGCTGAAAGTCTTCCTTGTTGCCACAGTGAGAGTGTAAAGGTAGGTACGGATGAGTGTAGAGGGTCTGACATAGCACAGTATGGTTTAGGGGATGAGAAGTAGTCTGGAGAAAAGAACCAAAATACATCTCTGGGTCTCCAAGACATCTATGAAAGGCTTATGGTCATGTTCCACAAGTCGGACTTGCACGATGGTCTGACTGATGAGCGAATGGCAATAAAACACTGTTATTTATATAACTACTTTGAACCGTCACTACTATGTGTTAGAGTTAACAGCATGGCAAACACGGATAGCAATGGGCTTGGGTAAAAGAAATTTTAAACAGAAGAGAAATATGGCTGTTAAATTAATATGCTGTTTTGATTGAATAACCAACACAAGGACACACAAACGCACACAAAGACAGACGAAGAGACGAGCTGACGGACGGAGAGACGGAAAGACGAAAGGAGAGAGGAATGGGGGAAGGGAGTCAAATCACAAGAGAGGAGAGGAAAGAAAGAGAAAGGAGATGGAGGGAGGGGGGATGGCAAAGAGGAACCATGCGTGGTTCACCTTCAATCTGTCTAAAGGCCACGGCTTGCCCTGTGGGGCGAGAGCCCGAGTGCGTCCACTCTGGGCTGAACAATGGGTGCTCATAGTACTCCTCTTCGGAGTGGTAGGGGTCGTCCTCGGGCACGGAAACTGAGATGGAGGGGGCGAGGAACTTGCACCTCTCACGAGAATTTTGGAAGCGGCGGAGAGGGCCCGCCTCCTCCTCATCCCCTACATCTACAAACAAGACAGACACAAGGAGAAGAACTGCAGGGAAATCTGGACACGCAGACTGAAAGAGAGAGTGAAAAGGATGGAGAAAAAAAGATAAAGGAAAAGGGAGAAGAAAGCAAAAAACTGGAAAAAAAAACCACCAAAGAATGGCCATCTTAAAAGTGACTTAACATGCAATTAAAGATTTTCTTTCTGTAAGGAGCTTTGGTCCAAACGTTTTCCATTTGGTCTTGACTTTATTATTTCATCAGCCAGTTCAACTGAACAGCAGTCACTTTGCACATGTAACTTTGTCAAACGGCAGAATTAAACTTTATAGATATGACCAGGAAAATATATTCTGCATTTATTGTATCCTTATTGATTTAGCTACTACTGATACTAGACTGAACAGAACTGAACAAATATGGGCCCAGCTATGGTCCTTTAACTTTTACGAAATGCTAAGTAACCAGCAAGTTCAAAACAATTTTTGCCTGACTATTTAAGATGGACATTTTTTGCAGTGAAAAGAGAGATAAAGCTTGAAGAGAAACCGACAAAAGAAACAGAAAGAGTCAGCAGAGAGGGGAATGCCAAAGAAGAAGAAGAGAAAACTTGTTTGAGAGCAAGAGAGACGTAACACACAGAGGACAATGACAAACAGACAGTGACAAGCAACTCAAGATAACAAAGCTTTGGGGGCCAGCCATTCTTTGAGAGCAACAAAACGGGCATATTGTATCATTTGTGAAAGATATCTGCTTCACATACGAATGATTCAACCAAAAATAAAATACATACAACATTAAAAATAAACAGCTACAACAGTTATAGCACTAATACAGCAGAAGTCGCTAACAAACCTGTAATGTTTTGTGGGGGTTTTAAAAGCCACAGTGAGAACAAACCTCAACACTAATACAAACTACTCAGTCCTGTAAAACACTCCACCTACAGTAAGAAACCTACATCCCAACAGCTTTACAGCTGTTTGTCATGAGCACACAACACATAACAACACATGTCACAAGGCTTTGCAGCTCCTAACCTTATTTCTTTTAGTTTTAGTTTTATAGCCCAGTCACTGCTTAAAAAATTAGATCAAACATAAATAATCAAACTTTATCACAGCTCTAACTGGGATGTTCAAAATCACAGGATAAATCTACACTGTGTGATTCAGAAAATGTAAATTAAATATAAAGTATTTTATGTGTGCAAACGGCATTCATCATCTTCCAGTCTCAAGAGGCAAGCTATACTAAATTATGTAACTAGATTGCATTTCTACATTGGGAGGGGCTTTTTTTAATACCCAATTTATTGGCTTTTCTACACCTTGCTGCAGCTTTCTTAGTCCTTAAATGTATAATTTGTATAAACAGAGCTAGATCTCTGTCACCTATAGCCACAGCCAAAGACACAGGGTACAATGACCAAAAAACGCAACACAATGATTAGACAGGCAAAACTGAAGACTTAACTCAAGTAAAATCACAAACAACAAGAAATCAGAGGGTTACCTAAATTGGCTGTCATATTAGTGTGTAGAAGACAGTGAAATGAAGAGGTTAGAAAAGGAAATGGATGGAAAGGATGACAAAAAGAGTGCACTTAGTAGAGGTGGAGTGTTCATGCATGTTATTGCGTCTTTGTCAGGATAAATGGGGATGATAATGAAGATATTCATTTTATCTGTTTCAGGCATACAATGATGACACATATGCAGTATTCCAAAAGAAATGGATGACAGGAAAAAAGGAGAAGATGTTTCTGCTTATAGCAGCTTAAGTAGAATTTCTGAACGTTTATCAACGTGTGGTTCATGCCCTTTAGGCAGGGCATGTCCTGAGAGGTGGGGCACTTCCAGCGCAAGCATACACCAAGACCCAAGTCTTGGTGGTCATAAAGCATCAGAAGCCACAGTCAAAAGAAGAAGTCTCTCTCTTTAAGAGACATACCGAGTATGTATTTATATTCTTGGCCTACCTTGTTCTAGAGGTCCAAAGTGCTCTGCAGCAGGTGAGGGGGGAGGCGAGGGAGGCAAATTGGTGGTGTCTTCAACTAGAAAGTGTGACAGAGATAAAAGACTGAAGTTATTAAAAAAAAATAAAAAATCACATATTATAAAGGATACTTTCCACTAGCAGAAAACACTTCTTGCAAGGTAACATGCCTAGCATGTATACAAAGCATATATATGTATAGCAAGGTATTGCAAGGCTGAAAACTGCTAATTTCCATTTTCACATGCATTTTTACAAGCAAAAAAAAAAAAAAGAGTAAAACATGGAGTACAGGTGCAGAATCCTGTAAAAAAGTGCTGTCAATAAGCAATAGCTTTGTATTTTTCTGTTTAAATAGCAGAAAAGGAAAGGCACTGCTAAATATGAACTCTGGCCATCCAATCGGTACCACATCTGGCAGCCAAACAGGATTGCTGTCCAACCATTGCTTAAATCATCAGTTAATACCAGTGAGTGCATATTCCCTGTTATTTTTAGTTTCAGTGTCAGTTGCTCACAGTTTTCACTGCAGCAGTAATTAGAAACAATTTAGTCTTTTTTTTTTTTTTTAAATCACAGTTATAAACTGCACAGATCATATATCCTTTCTGTACATATACACAGGCACATTACACTATGCTTATGCACATTTTACTCCTGTTATGGGTATTATATACGTGGCTGTTCCCTGCTTGATTCTGTTGCCAAAGACGGGGGTCAGACAGTATGAAACAGGCTAGGCAACGTGGGAGTTGAAAGTGACTAATTAAAGGATGGAGGTATGAGCTACTCTTGTTACTACAGGTACACTGTTCCATGTAAATGTTTGACAACCAGAAGCCTGGTTTTCAAGTGTGCAGGTTATGAGACTAATTAAACAAAATATACAACTGGTCTACTGTTTAGAAAGAACTACTAGAGTTGCTGAGGGAAAATACAGACATTTCTGTGTCTCCAACATATTCTCTTTTGCTGCAACATGTTTTTAACGTTCTTCAATTAGCGAGTCTTTTCAGGTTAGTAACAGTCTGCTATATTGCTCCACTGTTCACTTATTAAAAAAAAACAGGTATAACAATAGGACTAAGATTAATAATTTCAGCTGTCTAGCAGATGGATTAGGTGCTCCGACTCCTGAAATGCTGCTTTTAGGGATCTGGAGACATGTCCTCTGCACCCAGGGCCAGGTCCCATTTGAACAGGGGCCTGCATATTATAGTTTTCCAATTGCTACTGCTCTGTAGCACCATTAAAGAACATATGTGCATTTTTATAGCTCACCTGATGGCAGTCTTTGAGTCTCCTGCTCTCCCTTCAGTACTGCCACTGCCTCTGCTGTCACTTCCTGTACAATCCGGGCTGACACTTGCTCTACCCAGACACAGACATACAAGGTCAATGCAATATTATTAAACATGTTTCAACCAGACTAATTCTCTGTCCATTTTGCTTTACAGTAGCTCTTTCATGTCACTCAAAATGTGAGACGAAAGGCAGCATGAGGGGGCTGAGATTGTCTTCATAACACCATGTCTGCTAGTGAAGGCTGCAAGTGTCACCATGGGAACACAACATCCCATGCAGACACAAAGTATGAAAAAATACCTGTAATACTTTCTCTATTTTCATCACGACAAAGGAAATTTTACATTTCAATAACACACAGTAACATTTATAAAAATACTGCCAAACCTAAAAGTAACATAAAGAATAAAGAATGCAACAGCTTTTTACATAGAAATACAAGAATGATACCGCAATGTGTAATACTGTCAGTTGTTTACTATTGTTTTTGATTTTTTTTAATGAATGATCAAATGTGAGCTGAATCCAGTTCCGTCGGCGCAGACTTTTTTGTAATTTAACTATCAATCTGAATTCATTTCATTATCCAGGAAAGAGTGCTGTCTCAAGATGCAGTTCAAAGATGGACCCAACTGCAGGCCAGCACAAAAAAAGTGAGCTTTATTTCTAAGCTGGTAAAACAGTCCAGAATGAAAGCAAATACGGAACTGATTAAACCAAGAATATAAAAAACCTGACAAAAAGCAGGAACAGGAAGAGAATGACAAAGAGAGAGGTACACAGAGGACTAACTGGGAATAGGAAACAGAACTTAATCAACACAATAAACAGACAGAAAGTGAAACAGCGGACATGAGAGGAAAACGAGCCACAAGAATAAAAGATAAATGAACAAACTGGCAGCAGGAGGACCGAAAGGAGATAGGGAAACACTGAGGGAGCTAAACACAGGTAACAAACTCAAACTAGGAACTAAAGCTGAATGAAAAGCAACAGTAGAGCAATCCATTATCCTAACCAGTATTCAGATCCCATAACAACGCACTCCAACACTAAAAATTAACTAGACCTGGAAGGATAAAGATACTGGAAATACAATAAAATCACAACAGGAAACTAACAATAATCAAAAACTTTGAACATTAGAACACCAATGAAACCAAACAGTAAATATTTAATTTAAAAAAATAATCCAAAAGCTCCAAAAATGTGGCCAAACCCAAGGAGAGTTTGTCATGGCCAGGTGCTGAAGCACAAGGCAGTTTGGTACTGTTTGGTATTTATATATCAGAAAGCCCAGCAACAATTTTGCTTTAGGGTCCATTAGCAAAATGAGTTCCTGATAATATAATGTCAGATTGGGTTTATTGCAAATTTAGATAAACTCTCTGCAATTCTTTTTTTTTCTTTTTACCAGCTATACAGTAAAGTAAGAAATAAAAACAATGTTAGATGGTAATACTAGTGTTAGCATTTAGCAAGAAGCTGTCAACACAATATGCCCGTCTAACACTTGTAGGCAGTAGGTGTTAAATAACTACAGTATAACAGGAAAAGCCAGCGTGCACACAGTTTTCAATTGTAACAAAGGGAGTCTGTGACAGTTATGTATTCATGCGCTAATATAGTGTTATCCTAAATCAGGACACACACAAAAGGGCACCATACGAAACTGGTCAAGCAGTCTGCATTCAAGCTTTCATCAGTCTGCCTGCATGCATGTACGAATCAGAGAGGACGGCAGAGTTTTAAACAAAACCATCATTTCTATAGTAACAGCAGTTATGTATGGCTGGATGGCATTGTGATGTTTTTTTTACTGTTGCCGTTTAAGAACCTTTTTCTTTCCAGCATCACCCACACATCAACACACACAAGCTGGCAGGGACACACACACGCACACACACGCAATAACCCACATACATTCACTTCTTCCGGGAACACTTAACACAGCCCACTCACCAACTCGAAGCCACCATTTCCCATTTTCAATAGCAAAGTGGAATAAATGTGTACCACCTTTTTCACTGCTTCCAGGCAAAATCCTTTCATCTGATACTAAAAAGTAGAAGAGAGGCGTCCTCGTCAAACCTGCTCAATGGTTGTAACATCAAATAACAGCCCCTAAAGCTAAAAACGGGCATTAAAAGAAAAGCCTGTACATTTTTGTGAATGGTTTAGAACCACACTGCCTTTGTGTCATTTTGTTTTTTCCACATTAACAATTGCAAAGATGATTTTAACACTGAGAACGACATATTTTATTCAAACTAATGCTTGGCACAAAATTCCAGTTACGTTCATGTAAGCCACTTACAAATGTCCTTACAAAGTTTCTGAAGCAAGCATAGGGATCTACTGAAGATAGTGCAACTATTACAGAATAGGGACGTAGCTTAATTGCACAATTGCAAGATTCAAATGAAAACTAAAAAATATGGAAATGTCAACTTGACTACTAGAGCAGTATGGAATTTGTGTAAAAAACAACAACCACTTTTTGGGAAATTGTGAATTTTGTGTGTGTGTGTGTGTGTGTGTGAGTGACAAACAAATCTAGACAAATGCACAATGACAAAGCATTAGCAATGCAAAAAAACCCAACCTTGTCACATCCATAAAGCCAGCTGGCACTGATGAAAACTAGCCTTGTATGGCTGTCTCAGCATTCTCTGATGAAGTGATGTCAAATGACAGCCTGTCTGTCACTGGCTGTGACAGCAGAATCTATCTTACTACACCACTAAACAAAAGTAACACGATACGTATAAACAGACCTGCTCTCACTGTAAAAGAAAAGCATGCATTACCTGTATGACAGGCGACCGAACCTCTGAATGCTCCCTCTTTGAGCAGAGACTGTGACTGGAAGCCCCAAAGTCGACGCAAGGCACAAACAGTGCACCACACAGAGGCACACACAGAGGCACACGCACACGCACACGCACACGCACACACACACACAGAGGGCACAGAGAGAGCAGGACTGATGTTTGGCATGATACCAGCAGGCACCCAAAATGTGTAAAGCAAGTGGTTGCCATAGCAACAGACCAGTGGGCCATTGACTTGGGTCCATACGTAATTCAGATGCGAGCATCCTGTCATTCGGTTTCAACCTCCATGTCTAAAGCTACCAATCAAAAGAAACGATGACTTATTATCCTTTTTTTTTGACACATGATGCAAGTCTGAGCAATTTCTATTTTTAAATCATCTGATGAAGTAAAATAAATGTTAATTGTTTTCATTTTCTCAATGAAATCGCAGTGGAACAATTTGTTTTGTTTGTAGCTATAAAGAACAGATATTTGAACAATTTCTTTCAAAACAAAGGTTAAATTAAACCCCTGTTTTCATAGTGGTGATTACCTTAAAGTATGTAATATAGTTAAGTAAGCCAGGAGTGACAGCTAACAGCTAACTGTCACGGACCCGGCTCTGGAGGACTCGGGGGGTCCGTGAGCAGGATGGACCGTTATTATCATTATTATTGTTATTAGTATTATTATTATTGTTTTTATTATTATTATTAGTGTTGTTGTTGTTGTTATTTGGGGATGTGTGTCTTTCTGCACTGTGCTGTGTTGTTCTGTGTTCCACTCATTATAGGTAGAGGCAGGGTGTGGGTGTGTACAAGTGTGGCTGGAGGATGGAGAACAGCCACATGCGGGCCTGATGGGTGTGGCCACACCTGAAGTTCCTACCACACACCTGTTGGTGATCAGGGCTCGTCGGGGGAGCTACTTAGGAGAGTGTTGGAGCTCCCACCAGTGCGGGTTCATTGAGTTATCCTACCAGGAGAAAGAGTGGTCCAGAAAGGCTGCACGCACGGGGTGTGCGGAAACACAACAGCGGGGAGCACGAGCACAGACGTCGGAGGGAAGCACACACACGGGATTCAAGGGAGCAACGGGGAGTTATTGTGTTTACAGCTTCTCACTGTAAATAAAAAGCACTGTTTGCATCGCAGAGTCTGCGTTTTGGGTCCTCATTCCCCATATCCCCACGGTCTGCCTGCCAGAACACAAGCAAGCTCAGTTTGTAGCTACGTAATCGGAGACAAAAACCTTCACAAAATATATTATCCTCGGCAATTAGACCAATTAGTAGGGCTGGGCGATATATCGCGTTTTTTAAAAATATCGATATATTTTCATACGAGATATAAGATGTGACAATATCGTTTATATCGATATAGTCTATGTTACGTTATAATTATACTTGTGGAGCCGCAGGTTTGCCTCTCTTTCGTCCACTTTTGTCTCTACGCAACGTTACTCTGCCTCGCCTCTCCTTCACTAAACACAACTCCGCCTCCCCCATAGCTTCACCTGACAATGACAAGGCAATGACAAGATGAAAGCGGAAAATCTCCGTTAGCGAATTACCGCGGATGGCCCCGTGCGTGGGGCTGGACGGCGTCAACGTGTTAGCGAGCTAACCGCGCTAACGAGCTAACCGCGCTAACGACATAAGATAAGATAAGATAAGATAACCTTTATTAGTCCCACACGTGGGAAATTTGTTTTGTCATAGCAGGAAGTGGACAGTGCAAAAGTTATGAGGCAAAAATTAGGATACAATAAGAATAAATACAGTACACAACTGTACAGGATAGAATAAATAAAATACTATATACAGTGGAATAAAATAA